TTTCTCATTGTAGGCGAAAGATTATTATAAAAGAGGAGCTCGTTTGCGCTCACTTGTGTTGGGCACCCATTCAAATCTAAAAATTTAGAATGCTGAGCCCTCCATCTAAAAAATATAATGAATTGAGTCCTCACTGTAGGGTAAAATCAAATTCCTATGCTACAACTGTGTTGTTATGTGCACTGCAATACACCTCTGCCTTTGCATGATAACAACATTATTTGTTCAAGCAAACGAAGAATATGAGGCCATTTTAGTTATGTTTGTATGCGCAGGAGATAAAAAATTTTGGTCTAATCCTCTTAACGACTCATGAAATTTTGTTAGAATTTCCTACCTAGATTTATTGGTTTTGCTATTTTCCCAAGTAAAAGATAATCCCAGTGTCCGCTGTGCGGAAATGCTTATTCCTGTCATAGAATACTAAACTAACACCTTTCGGATATCCGTGAAAGTGAATCACGCAATCGCAATCAATTTGGACAACTTATTATGAATGAACTATTTTAAAGAGGGCGTTTGGATTCGAGGGATGCAAAAACTGATTTATCAAAATGACGGGTTTTTGTTATTTTACATATGATGAAGTACATAAGTCAGATGCCTTCGGCTTAATGAATCATTCACCAACCGATGTGATTTAGGCTACCACATCCCTGCAATTTATAGGATCTGCTCTAATACTCCTAAAAAGGTCTTTAAAACTATCTTATATCCAATTATGTTTGATAATGTTGTTTTAAGTAGAAGTCATTTGTCAATCAGCACTGTCACAAAGAGTTTAGGAATCTCAGCACGCTGAGCTATTGCATATTAGAGGTTCTCGACAGTGAAAATTCCTAAATTTGGTCCTTTATTGTCTGACAAGTAAGTAACTTTTAGTGTTTAAGGCAATTACTTTCTGGATCTCAAAATTTTAGAGAGGACGCCATTTACCTGCCAATATGGCTCTACACCCTTCTTGCGCCGAGGCAATTTAAATCTTCACGTTTCTAAAGTCCATGAGGGTAAATTGAATACGTTCTAATATTTATTGTAAATTTTAAGCATTCACTCTTAGTTGTTATGTGGTATATATCTCCCCAATTTCTGCTTTTTTAGGGTGGCTTTATTACTGCAAGTATTGCAATGAATCCTTTTCACAGTAGAGCTACACGAATAGACATATTGCTGTAAAACATGGGAGAGACTTAAGTAATTCCTAAAAGTGCTTTCATTATCTTTTTTTCTACCTGCAATTAAACATAATTTTGTTCTATCTACCTTGCCATATCCTTAGGAGAGTCCTTCAATGAGATCATCTCCCACAGTTTATTACAATTTACCCTGAAAGAGAAACTGCTTAAAATTTTCGCATCGTAAAATATTATTCTAACCTCTTAGTAGGTAGCTGTTCTCATATTAATGGGTATACGACATACCTTTTTCTTGCTTCCCATTTCTTTAATTAGGATATGCTATAATCAAGCGATCATTTGTAAATGATGCAAGAAACCATTCAATACAACTGCGAAGTTAGCTGTATTTTGAGAAGCTAAATCCACTATGAGGCGTAGTAGAAAAAGGAAACTGCTCGTGCGCGAAACCAGTAAATATATATATTCTTAAAAATTGTGCTGCATCCCTTTAGTCACAAAAATTTTTAGGGCTATCTCAG